AAAACTTCAGCTACCAACCAACCACCTTTGGTCAATGCATGTTGGAAATACTTAAGGAATCTCTTCATGCTAAAAATGCATGTATGTACAATCGAAAATAAAACTTACACACTATAAAAGTTAAAAGCACAGTTGAAAAAATGAGGCATAAAATTGTAATTTAAAACATTTGAGTTGACTTTCTCCTCTTTTCTCATCACTCGAGTGAAGAAACTTCTCCTCTCAATCTTGCAAATTCATCCTCGCATCTCCCTTCATATCGCTTGATCCAAACTACGTAGTCACCCACTCTTCCATCTAGTGGCGAATCTTGACCATTAATCTTGGGGAGACCAAATAATATATTATTAATAAATAATAAATAAATATAAAAGGAAGAAAGAAGATGAAAGGGTGAAAAGATAAAATTATAGGTATATACTAAAATATATTAAATGATCATTAAGTTTGAGGGGAACAAGATCATAAATTATATGAGAGTTACAAAACTGAGGAGGGGCTGAGAGGATAAAATTATAAATATACAAGTAAATATATAAAATGTTCATTATGTTTTGGGGGGCCAAAATCATAAATTACATGAGAGTTACAAAACATTGGGGGGCCATGACCCCCCTCAGCTCCCAAGAAGATCTGCCACTGCTTCCATCCTCAACTACATTACATCGACAAAAACAACAGAGGTTAAGTGTATTGAATAACTTCATATTTGTATCTCATAATTTAGGGTGACAAATCTGACTTATGGGTGAAATTCTTGGAATTGCATGATTTCCACACCTTTAGATTAATTGTAAAGGAACAAACACTCTATAACCAATTAACACGGACAGGGCTCAATTGAAGTTAATAGTTCGACCATAACACAACCCCTAACCTCAAGTTAAAGATGTCAAGGTTGTAACTATGAAGTGAGAACCTGAGAATGGTTAGACATTAAGCCAAGTCGAGGGCCCGAATATAACACAACCCCTTAGCCTCAAGTTCAAAGACGTTGGGGCTTAAACTATGAAGTCATTAATTATCCAATCTTAATTATTAGAAAAAGGCTGATGTTTTAGGATTAACACCACACAACCTTTCAACCTTGAGACTGAGCCAAAAAGGTTTAAGTATTAAAGTTAAAACTTAACAACATTCCAACCATATATGGACATTACACAACCCCTCAACCTCAAGGTAAAGACGCTAAGGGTTAAACTCTTGTAAAAAATGATAAAATATATCAACAACCCTCCTCAAAAGGTCTATCCTTAGGATCGAGAAAAGATCAAGACTAATGATTGGACACTACAAAGTCTCTTAGTCTCGAGGCAAAGATGTTAAGGCTTAAATTCTTGTCAAAATGGTCATAATATCAATAACTCTCATCATAACGAATCTGACGAAATTCATGTGTCAAGTCCTTGACAACCACATTATTATGGACCTTATAAGGTCTTGAGCTAATGATGAAAACCACACATCAAGTAATTGACAACCACATCATGGACATCGTAGGGTCTTAAGTTGATGGACATTGTAGGATCTTAAATGTGGTCAGTATTAATCATGCCTTGGATCTTATTAAAGGATCTCTTATGGTGTGTTGAGGACCTTACGGGGTCTCTTATGATGTGGGTCATGCCTTGAATCTCAATCAAGGATCTCCTATGACATGATCATGCCTCAAATCTCGATAAAGGATCTCTTGTGGCATGTTGGGGCCTTGTGGAATCTCTTGTCAATGTGGATCATGCTTCAGATATCAATAAAGGATCTTTCATGATATGATCGTGTCGTAGATCTTAATAAAGGATCTCTTATGACATATTGGAGATCTCGTGGGGTCTCTTGTCGATGTGGATCATATTTCAAATTTCAATCAAGGACCTCTTGTGACATGATCATGTTGTGGATCTTATGGATGGCAAAACGGGTCAGTCCGCTCCATTTTGGCCCGCCGAAAGTGGGGCAGTGTGAGCTAGCCCGCTGTAGTCATGGCGGGCTACAGGTCTCGGCCCGTCCCGCAAAAGGGTGGACAGGCGGGTTGATCTGCCATATTTCTTATTTTATTTTATTATTTTTAAATCAAATCTTTCAATAAATTAATAATAAAATTATCATTGTCAATAATTTAATATATATATATATATATTTCAAGTTAAAAATATAAATTGATATATTATTTAAATAAATTATATTTTAGAATAATTAAATTAAGATAAAATTTATATAATAGTAAATACATATATGTCATAGTAAAAATTTATTAAATCTTTATTTTTTATATTGAAAAGTATGAGATATATATGATTTTTACCTTATGAAGAAGAATGAGCAAGAAGAAGATGATGAGTAAGAGGAGAGGAGAGAGAGAGGAGTTTATGGTTGAAAAAAGAAAGTGTTGTAATGTGAGTTTAAGTAATTATAAAACTGTTTGAATTCTCTTAGTTGTGAGATACTGAAATTTTTATAAATTTTCTTTATGAGACACTGAGACTTTTAGAATTCTTTTTTCATAAATCTTTATATTTTATATTGTCTTTCCGACTTTTTGTATTATATCACAATAAACAAAAGTTATTAGTAAAGTGGGTTGCAGACAGACCTGTCCCACCCCACGGGTTGGCGAGGCGGACCAAAACGGACTAACGAGTTGAAAGTACTAACCTGCCCCACCAAGTGGCGGATCTTGACCATTGATCTTGAGGGGGTCAAATAATATATTATTAATAAATAATAAATAAATATAAAAGTAAGAAAGAATATGAAAGGTTGAAAAGATAAAATTGTAGATATATACTTAAATATATTAAATGATCATTAAGTTTGAGGGAAACAAAATTATAAATTATATGAGAGTTACAAAATTGAGGAGGGACTGAGAGGATAAAATTGTAAATATACAAGTAAATATATTAAATGTTCATTATGTTTGAGGGGGCCAAAATCATAAATTACATTGGAGTTACAAAACTTTGGGGGGGCCACGACCCCCCTCAACTCCCAAGAAGATCCGCCACTGTGCCCCACCATATTATGATGGGCTGACAGGTCGACCTGCCAGACTTAACCCGTTTTATCATCTCTAACGGATCTCAATAAAAATATCTTGAGATACGTCAGGACCTCATGGGATCTTTTATTTTTTTCGGTTTTGTTCAAATTTTCTAAACAATCTTTTTACCTTTTTATTGGTCTTTTGGAGGAAAAATTCTAGAAAAAAAAAAATCTTCAAGTAACGAGAATGCAATTACTTAATTATGTTATGATTTATTTTTATAACAATTTAACTTCTCTGCTGAGCTACTTCACTTCTAAATGATAAAATCTATTTAGATGTTTTGAACATTGACTTGTGAATTTTGAAAGAAAAACCTGTTATTATAATAATAACAGCAATGAAGATTTAACAACTTTTATGATTATTAATATGATTTAAACGTATTCTCTCTTCCATGATGAATATTTTAGAAACTTAAAATTGAATATTTATAGGTTGTAATATTATATTACAAAGTGGATTAAACTTAAATTAGTTATATAAATCTGGTTTATAAAATAACATATGTATGCTGTATATTGTAATTTGATTATATTTTTAGTTATAATAATTTTTAAATATAATCTTTTAAAATTTTTCATAAGGGACTTAGAGAAAATTGACTTTATGTTAAGTTTAGCTCTTTTAAGGTTTTAGTATAATTTATTAAAACAAGTTTTTTATTACATTTTAAGGTCAAACTTATTACATATTTATTTTCGCATGTAATAATAATTTATTTAATACGTATTTTATTAACTTGCTTACTTTAAATATGATATAAGTCTTGCTGGACTTGTGGTTTGAGAAAAAGAGCTGTTTTTATCCATTTTTTCACAAGCCACGACGAACAATCTCATTTCGCTTAAAAAGGGTTAATTTTTCTTGCCGCGTACTTTTATTTTAATTTTTTTTATTTAATTTTTATATCATTAGATATTTTTTAGCATTGATTTTCTAACTCTACTTTATTTTTCTTATATATATATATATATATATATATATATATATATATATATATATATATATATATAAATGTCGTTTGGTTGATTATTGGAATCTATTACGTCAATTTTGTTGAAATTGAAAAAAAAATCATTTAAAAAAAATAAAGATATTAGAAGAGTCTCTTAGGCTGGATATGAAGAAAAGAAAGTGTTAAAAAAGAGAGATAAAATAAAATAAAAAATATATTTGTTTTACGAAAAATTGACATAAAAATAAATAAAGTTTATTATTTAATTAAAATTTAATATTTGTATAAATAAAAATTATTTATATAATTATTTTTTATTGTTAAAATATTTATTAACAAGAGGATAATTTTGAAACAGTACATGTGTTCATTAAGGTGGAAAGTGACATCTTTTCTTTTATCATTTTTCTTATTATTGAAATAGAAAAATTCTTTTCACTAATTTTCTTAATTACTTTTTATTCTATACTTTTTTTTTATAATCGAATAAGAATCAAATATATTTTATATACCAAATCTTCATATTTATTCTTAGCATCTTCATATTTATTCTTAGCATGCAATGTCAAAATCTGAATAGATATATTTTTAATATTTCATTCTTAATATATATATATATATATATATATATATATATATATATATATATATATTAAATGGTAATATACCAAAACTTCAACTTATATGTTTATTTAATATATTAAAAAGAAAAATAAGATGAAGTTGTTTAAAGATAAATAAGTGTTTTTATTAGGAAATTCCTTCCAGTAGTACAATTATCTTATTTTAATTTTGTAGACTTTACAATGTCACATAAATTTAATTATTTTATAAAAAAATACTTCAACGCTAACAATATTAACTCTTAATTTGATGTATAAATTATATAATTTACCCATATATTAATAGTTGAAATATATTTTTCATTATCTTTCTACACAACCTAAGAATATTCTAAGCAATAATTACTTTTACAAACACTATAAACAATTTCACGAGGAATTCAAAGACCAACGCAACTCACTGCATTGGCATTAGAAAAAATTATTGATAAAGAATGTAGAGCAAACATGGATAAGCTTTGTATACAACTTCAATACTTTTTCATGCAGTAGTAATTGACTTTTTTTTCTTAAATAATATTAAGAAAATAATTAATTACAAAAATAGATTATCCATTTTATTTATCTAAATAAACTTATTTATTATAAAATCAAAATTTGAGACTTTTTTCTTAAATAATATTAAGAAATTATTAATTACAAAAATAGACACCTATTTTAATTAATATATATTTATATTTAATAAATACATATTTATATAATTATATATTTTTATATATTTTTATATTTAAAATATAAATATATATTAATATACTAATTTTTAATTATATCAATATATAAATATGTGTATATATATATAATATAAGTATATAAATATTTAGAATACATTAATATATAATGATTAAATTATTATCATATATAAATATAATAATATTTACTTATATTTTATATATATATATATATATATATATAAATAAAACTATACGTATAAAATATATATATATATATATATATATATATTTTTTTTTTTTTAAATCATAAATATAAATTGTTTAAAAAAAATACATAATTCAAAATTCTGACTACTCTTGTGTGATTTCAAATTTTGACTTATAAAGTGGAGATATATTTTCTTAATTAATGACTCGGAGTAATTAGATATTTCAAGGACAACTTGTTTTTTTTTTCTATTATTATTAAATTCAAATTCTTACCATTATAGCGTTTTTGTCAGTTTCCGTAAAAACAAAAAATACTGTCAATACAGTTGTCGTCTTGTTCTTGCATTCATTATTGTTTCTACAGTATGAGTAATGAGTGACATTGATTTGTTGACCAACCTAATGAATAAAATCACAGCTTAACAGAATTAGCAAAAAATAGAGTCCAAAAAGTCACCATTTCCCACTAATTATATCCATCTGCTATGTTCATCCATCCAACGAACGAAATTGAAGCAAAGAAGAAGAACAATGCGCAGCGTAACAACAACACTTTCAACACCACACCACTGTGTAGACTCCCACACGCGAACCACGTTCCTCACTACCCTTGTCCCAATCCAATCCCTCTCCTTCCGCAATCACAATCACAATCACAATCACAGTCTCAGACTCTTCTGTTCCTCTTCCAACCCCTCACGTCCGCCGCCGGTGGTTGTGGTGGGTTCCGCCAACGCCGACATCTACGTCGAGATCGATCGGCTGCCGCGCGATGGCGAGATTCTCGTGGCGAGGTCCGGCCAGACGCTCGCTGGCGGGAAGGGTGCCAACCAGGCCACGTGCTCCGCCAAGCTCAATTACCCTACTACTTGTTACTTGTTATGGAGAAATCGATAAAGGATCGAGGGAGAAAAAATGGAAAACCATTTTGATTGAGTTAAAAGACGAAACATGGTTAGAAAGTTCGTTAGACGACTACAGTATGATCGAGAATTAAAATTGAGAAATCAACCGAAGAATGTTTAATATGTGTTAGTGAATGAAATTGAGAAATCAAAATTATGTAATGTTAAGGATAAGGGAAAGCAAAGTAAGTCAAAGTTCTTGAGATCAAGAAATCAAAATCAAGAGGAAGGTTAACCTCCGTGGATATCGAAATCTCGGTTAGGTCATAAAGAGATGAACAGTTAAATACACGTATAGGAAACAGTTTCTAAACCGTGAATGTGGGTGCAGTTTTAATTGGTAGCAGTTTTCGTTAACTACTCCTAAGAGGTTACTTGCTGAAAGGATGTCCTATAAATAGAGTGAAGGATGAAGGAGAGGGGGGAAATTGGCAGAGAGAGCTAAGAATACTAGTGAGAAGTCTACTGGAGAACGACGAACATCATGAAGTTTCTGGCGATCTGGATTTCCATGTTCATTGATTTCCTTTACCGCTTTCTTTATTTTCCCTGGTAATTTACTTTGATGCAGTTTATGTTTAGCAACTTTAAGTTTCTTTATTTTCGATTCCTTGTCATTTCCCTTTAATGAAAGTTAAGTTTCTGCTTTTAAATTCCTTGTCATTTATATTAACGCAATTTCGATTTCATGTTATTTAAATTTTCGAGATTTCGATTACTTGTCATTTACCGTTTGTGCAATTTCGACTTCCTGTTATTCTTTTTCTTGCAATTTCGATTTCCTGTTGTCTACTTGTTCTGCAAAGTTAGATTTTTTATTTACAATCCTGCAATTTTCGATTCCTTGCCATTTACATTTAATGCAATTTTAAGATTTCTGCACTTTACATTTTCTCGCAATTTAATATTTCTTCGAGCTTTACATTCAGCACTGCTTTTCGATTTGTCACTTTACTGTTTTCCTTATTTCGAGTACTTCAAATACAAAATACCAAAAGTAATGCTTTCGATTATTAATCTTAGTATCTTCTATACAGTGGTGCTTTCGATTCTCATACGGATTTCGATTGAAATCCAGTTGCTAGCCTAAGTATAAAGAATCTATGTGGTTGAGTTTTGGTTAGAATAAAAGCCTCTTAAGAATCGAAATTAATCAAAATTCCACCAGAAACACTACTTCATCAGACAGGTCGGTGACGAGGCCTACGGGAGCCTCGTCACCGACGCGCTCCGCGGCGGCGGGGTTCGCCTCGACGGTCTCACGGTGGTTTCGTCCGCGCCTACGGGTCACGCGGTTGTGATGCTCCAATCCAACGGCCAGAACTCCATCATCTACATCGGGGGTGCAAACTTGAGTTGTTGGCCCAGAGTACTGCCACGTCAGCATTTGGACCTTGTGGCCCAAGCGGGCATTGTTTTATTACAGCGGGAGATACCCGATTATGTCAACGCTCAAGTCGCACAGGTTGGGCCGGGCTGAGCCTTTTATGAATGTTGTTAGAACTTTTCTTAATTACAATTACAATATCTATTTACTCATCTCCTTTTATAGTCGTACAACACTATCTATTATACACTTTATATTATATATATATATATATATATATATATATATATATAAAATAATGAATTATTATTTTAATTCAGTATATTAAAAAAATAAATTATTAAAATAATAAAAAAAATATTCTTGTGATAATTGAATTCCTTTTTATATAGATTCAATTTTTTTCTTAAATTTTTAACTTAGATATAATATATAGAAAAAAAGAGAGTAAAAGAAGTATTTTTTAGCTATAAGACTTAAAATCTAGATATCTTTTAAGTAGAGTGATCAAATTAGAATTAAAGATTCAGTCATTAGTGAGAGATTATATTGTAGCTGCGTAGTTAAGTGTTCTTGTGTTATCTCCATATTATATTATCCGCAGGTCAATTTTTATTTATAAAATATTATTCATTTTGAAACTCTAATTTACCTAGTTTTGTTTTTAATGGATAAAATTTATCAAATTTTGTTTTTAATGGATGGAGTGAAGAAGGCATATTGAGAAATCGATAAAGGGATCGACAAACAAATGGGAGCAAAAAATTGAAAACCATTTTGATTGAGTTAAAGACTGATAAATCGAAAGACGGTTGGAAAGTACGTTCGACGACCATGTGACAATATGATCGAGAATTAGAATCGAGAAATCAAAGGAAGAATGTTTAATATCCGTTAGTGAATGAAATCGAGAAATCAGAATTATGTAATGTTAAGGATAAGGGAAAGCAAAGGCAAGTCAAAGTTCTCGAGATCAAGAGATCAAAATCAAGAGGAAGACTAACCTGCGTAGATATCGAAATCCCGGTTAGGTCATAAAGAGAGAAACAATTAAACACACATATAGGAAACAATTTCTAAACCGTGGCAGAGGTCGAAGATCATGGGAACGTGGGTGCAGTTTTAATACCAAAGAAGAAACTGCAACGTGCACGTAAGACGTGGTAGCAGTTTTCGTTAACTACTCCTAAGAGGTTACTTGCTGAAAGGATGCCCTATAAATAGAGTGGAGGATGAAGGAGAGGGGGGGGGGGGAAATTGGCAGAGAGAGCTAGGAATACTAGTGAGAAGTCTACTGGAGAACGAAGAACATCATGAAGTTTCTGGCGATCTGGATTTCCATGTTCATTGATTTCCTTTACCGCTTTCTTTATTTTCCCTGGTAATTTACTTTGATGCAGTTTATGTTTAGCAACTTTAAGTTTCTATATTTTCGATTCCTTGTCATTTCCCTTTAATGAAAGTTAAGTTTCTGCTTTTAAATTCCTTGTCATTTATATTAACGTAATTTCGATTTCCTGTTATTTACATTTCCGAGATTTCGATTACTTGTCATTTACCGTTTGTGCAATTTCGACTTCCTGTTATTCTTTTTCTTGCAATTTCGATTTCCTGTTGTCTACTTGTTCTGCAAAGTTAGATTTTTTATTTACAATCCTGCAATTTTCGATTCCTTTCCATTTACATTTAATGCAATTTTAAGGTTTCTGCACTTTACATTTTCTGCAATTTAATATTTCTTCGCAGTTTTACATTCGGCACTGCTTTTCGATTTGTCACTTTACTGTTTTCCTTATTTCGAGTACTTCAAATACAAAATACCAAAAATAGTGCTTTCGATTATTAATCTTAGTATCTTCTATACAGTGGTGCTTTCGATTCTCATACGCATTTCGATTGAAATCCAGTTGCTAGCCTAAGTATAAAGAATCTATGTGGTTCAATTTTGGTTAGAATCAAAGCCTCTTAAGAATCGAAATTAATCAAAATTCCACCAGAAACAAATTGGCGCACCAGGTAGGGAACATTTGTGTCAAAAAACACAAAATTGGTTAGTTCGAAAGTGTATGAGATTAAGGAGTGGGCGAGTTATAAGAATGAGTCAAAACCCACCAAATAACCAGAATAACAGTGAGGGTCTAAATGGTTCACATCCACCAAACACTGGGGGGCAAGGTCTTAATGGAAATATGCCTGTAATATCGACGACTGTGAGTACGTCGATACCTGTAGGTAATGAACAAAGTTCAGGCACATTAGCAAACACTCAAGTAGGATCTAGTACTGTGATGGGAAACCCCATAACAACATATGCAGGGCCGTATATGAGCGTACAACCACCTGGTTTTTCACCTAATAATATGAATGGGGCTGGTACCTCTTCGATACAACGAAACGAAACTCGAGATTTAACCTAGGAATGCCTCAGAACTTAGGTACCTTTCAAACTCTAGGTATGCCGCAAAATTTTGGAGTCTCTCCAAATTTAGGGGCGTCTCAAAATTTAGTAACCCCCCAAAATTCAGGGAGTGGGCAGATTTTAGGTACACAACAGATACCTCCAAATCTAGATCACAGAGCAAATCTGGATCATGGGAGAAACGCATTCGATAGAGATTATCATCGATCCAATTTTGAGACTATTGAAAACACTAGTACTGGGATCTCCAGTAACTCATTAGGATATTTAGACAACAAATGGATGAAAACAATTTTGAGATGGTGAATATGTTATCACAACAGTTGACTACAGTCCTCAATCCATTAGTTCAAAACACTACTGCTAGTTTTGAGATATTAGCAGACCAAATGTCACGTATCGGGGATGCATTGGCTATACCTCGACAAACAAGAGTGGAAAATCATGCCAATCAGAACATTAACAAAAATGCTAATATCAATCCCCCGTATCTGTTGAGGAGAAATCGAAACAATGATCAACATCAACATATGGGAAATGAATATCAACATGTGAGGAATGATATTTATGGGAATCTGAATGAGGGATTTCAAAATATGTACAATCAAAATAATATGCAGTATAATCACATGTTAGGACAAAGGATGAATTCCCAAGGAATGGAGGTAAGACCACCCAATCAAACGTACTTTGTTTCTCCTTTCCCAAATGCTATTCTCGAGACAGAATTACCTCGAGGATACAAAGTACCTAAATTCACCAAATTTGCTGGAGAAATTGGTGAATCCACTATCGAGCACGTGACTCGATATCAGATCGAATGTGGGGATCTAGCGATGAGTGAAGAATTAAAAATGAAATATTTCCCTAGTTCATTGACTAAAAATGCTTTCACTTGGTTTACTACGTTGCCACCCAATTCGATATATAATTGGTTACAACTGGAAAGAAATTTTCATGAGCAATTCTTTAGAAGAGAGACTCAAGTAAGTCTCATCGATTTAATGAACATAAAGAGATACAATCATGAAAGCATAAATGATTATTTGAATAGATTTAGACAAATGAAGTCGAGATGTTTTACTCAAATTCCTGAATATGAATTAGTCAGAATGGCCTCTGCAGGTTTAGAAATCTCGATTAGGAAAAAGTTAGTTAATTTACCGTTGAATGACATGACTCAATTAGCTGATAAAGTAAGAAGAGTAGAACAAATTGAATATGAAAAACAAAGGTATAAGAAATTTGAGAAACCCATGAAAAAAGAAAGAGTAGCATATATAAATGATGTGTATGAGACAGATCCCGAGACAGAAATTGAGATTGAAGAAGCTGTCGATGAGAAAGTAAATATAGCAGAGCTCAAAGTAGGAGCTCCATACATTTGTCAATTACTACAGAAAAATAAAGTAAAAGACAAGATGGCAAATCGAACGTATACTTTCGATGTAACAAAAGCCGATAAAATTTTCGATATTTTATTGAAAGATAAGCAGATTAAGTTGAGTGATGACCATAAATTGCTATCTGCAGAACAAAGGAATGGTCGAAAATACTGCAAATTCCATAATATTTATGGACATTGGACTAATAATTGTATACATTTCAGGAACACGATCCAAGATGCGATTGATCAAGGAAGACTGAAGTTTGGAGAAATGTCTATGAAAGTGGACACTAGTCCATTTGAAGCTCAAGTAGGCTTTATCGAATCCCAAACGGGCATGACTGAAGATGTCCGATTGACAAATTCGACCTTTGTAGGCATGGTTGATGTTACTGAAGACATTGACCCCAGGCATGTCAGAATGGACGTATCTGAAGAAGACATGGAATTCGACCTGAGTGAGTTCAAGAAAGAATTCAAGAAAGAGATCTATCCTCAACCAGGAGATTCTCTCATCGAGTTTTTAAACAAAAAGAAGGAAAAGAATGAAGATGTATCTCTTTGTCCACGATGCAGCGCAGTGTTCGACAAATCGGCCGCTAAAACCTTCAGAGCAGAATAGATGAAGAAAATCGAGAATCAAAATAAAAGGGATAATGACAAAGTAGATCAAGCAGCACAAGCAACGATTGGAGAAAATAAGTAAAAATCGATTGGCTCTGTTGCTAGTAGAAATCACAAACAGTGGGTTAGGAGAGAAATATATCCTTCTCGAGGAGGAAGGCTCCAAAGTAATGATGTCTTCGAAAGACTCTCATATGATGAAGGATTGAACACTGGATTCCCAACATTCCAAAGGAGATTCCGAGGAAGGCCCTGGAGAAGAGGAGGAAGGATCCCTTACTGGAATAATTACGGGAACTTTGAAGAGAATAACGTACCAATGTGGAGCCGAGTATGCAAGAAACTTTTTCGATGATAAAAATGAGGGTAGCTGGGATGAACATCAAATTGGAGTAATATCGATATTACCTGCAGAATACGTTAGTGAGTATCAAGAGTATCAAGAACAAAGTGATGCTTGATCGAGAAGATGATTTCTATTCGGAAGACATAAGGCCAAAAGTGACATGGGTAACACAAGCATCATGCGAAGTACCCCATAGAGATGCTTGCGTTTATTGATCCTCCATCTCGAGGAAATGAGATTCCACCCGAAGCCTTTATTACTGAATATCGAGATTCAAGGGCAAATGGTGAATAGAGTTCTTGTCGATGGTGGTGCAACGATGAACATATTGCCCATCACTATGTCTGAAGAGGTTTGGTATC